AAGATTCACGTTCAGTACAAAATCTTTTCTCAATCTCAATAATCCTCTTCTTTTCTTTCTCCGTATCTTGCCTTTCAGCATTTAAAACCTTCTCAATTTCTAAACCTTTATTCYTCTCCAAAAAATCAATTTTCAGTTCAGATCTATGCAGTTTAGCTGTTAATTCTTCGATCTGTTTCTTCAAATTAATTGTCTCTTGTGGATTAGAACCAGTTTTCATCAGATCACTCAGCTTTTCTTGCAAAACTCTCTTTTCTTCTTTCTCTCTCTCATTATAACCAGTCAGAAGAATTGTCCATGATATGTTCTTGTTAAACTCAGATTTTAGTTTATCATACTTCTCTTTAAGCTCACGGTATTCTCTATCATAAAAAAACTGCCATTTTAAAAAATAGATTGATCAGATATAGAATCTATGCAGTGAAATCAGTAAAAGAAATCAGAAACAGTTAAGCTCAAAAAGAACAACAGAAAACACAAAAACTGATGACAATTTAGAAAAACGACAAAAAACTATCAAAAATCAGTAAAAACTGTTGAAAACAATTAAAACTGTTAAAAACAGTCAAAGAGAGTTGAAACTGAAGAAAAACAGTTTACGCGACAAAAAACAGTTCAACGATTCTCAAACAGTTAAAAACACAAAAACCAAAACAGATAAACGAAATGATCCAAAATTAAAATCTAAACGAAAACTTAAAATTCAAAACCAAAAACACAACAAGCCCAATTACAAAGATTACAAAGAACTAATTAAATCTGCACACCAAAGTCCACTCTTCTTCTGAATTTCAGATTGCAACTATGAGCAGTTCACTTCAAATACTCAAACACATCTGATCATATTACAGCTGCAAGTGCAAGATTTTCAGTAGCAAATCTGAAACAAACAACCTTCAATTGTATGACCTTCCTTTCTTTTCTACCTTCAAACCTAACTTTGTAACTGATTAAACCTTCTTATTACTTGACTGCAAACAAATACTTCAAACCACTTAAACAACTCACTCAAACAGCAAATCAATACCTCGAATCAACCAGCGACAAATGTTGATTCATATACATAGTGCAGTTCACTTGATGTTTCGGTCAGACTCTGTTTCAGACTGTCACGATGCTGAATCAGACCTTTACCTTTTGTAACAGCAATGTGAAGCTTTTCCCTCAGAGCATATATCCGTTGCTCGGACTCATTAACTTCGACAG